TTTTTGACCAATTTTGCATGCTTATATCTGGTAATCTGAACAACTACTTTGAAGCTAATGATATACCATATAACAACCATTGTTGATTTCCTATTATCTTGTTTTGAAATTCTGTATTATTTTTAATGTTTGCTTATTTTTATTCTCTTTAAAATAAGAAGGAAAAGTAAATTAATAAATATTAATCTTTGTATATCAATTCAAGCATAATGTTTTCCAATAAGTAACTTTGCCTCTGCAAAAACTTGTATTCCATGTCAATATTTTCATTGCAAATAATAGTAGGTATAGCAAAAAGGAATAAAATAACAGTGAATATATTCTTACCTACAGCATAATACTGCTCTACATGACAGGGCTAAATTCAGGAACTTTGTCTTAACCCCAAAACTCATGGCATATTTTAATGTTTCACCATCAATGATTAGGGCCACATCATTTTCTTTATCTAACATATCTCCAAGATCTTGACAGTTCTGGTGAATCATATGATGTGTTTCCTAAAAAAGGGAGGAAAAAATAACTTTATATGTCTCATTTTAAATAAAAATGAAAAGGCATCTGAATCAAGATGGTAGAGAAGTAGGTCTGTGTTTACTCTATTACACCCTTCAAAATCTTCATTGATGGGGCTGGGAATGTAGCTCAGTGGTAGAACACATGCTTTATAAATGCAAAGTACTGGTTCCCTCCCAACACCAAAAGGAAAAAAAAGAAAAGAAAAAATAAATCATTTAAATGAGATTAAAAAGTAAATAAATAGTTTAAAAGATGCTTGACATCATTAGCCATTAGGAAAATGCAAGTTGAGACCAGCATAAAATACCACTTCATACTCACTAACACAGCTAGAATCAAAAAGCTGAATGACAGTGAGTATCACCAGGGATGTACTAATGCGTGGCAGAACATGGATGAACCTTGAAAACACGGTAACTGAAAGAAGCCGGTTACAAAAGAGCACATATTATATAATTTGATTTCCATGAAAATCCAAAATAGGAAAATCCTATTTTTGTTAGTTAATGGTTATTTAAAAGTGATAGCTATTGTGAAACTGTTGTCTCCTTAATTTCTCTCTTGGCGAGTTTTGATATATAGGAATATTACTGGTTTTTGAGTGTTGACACTGTACCCAGCTAAGTTACTGAAATTTGGGTATTAATTAGGACTCTTTTGCTGGAGATTTTGGAGTTTTCTATGTAGAGTATCATGTCATCAGCAAATAATGATAATTTAACTTTTTCCTTTGCTACCCATATTCCTTTTATTTCTTTCTGCTGACTAAATTGCTCTGGCTAATATCTCAACGACTGCACTGAACAAGAGTGATGATAGTG